CGGGCGGCCGCGGAGCGGGTGGGGGCGGCTCTTGGCTCTGCCGGGGCAGCGGCTACCGAAGCGACCCGGCCGGTGGGCAGCACAGTTCGCTCATCTACGAGGGAAGAAATGGGGGCGCGGGCGGGGGCCATGTTGCTTCATTGGCCCCAACTCTTCGGTTCCTGCAGGATTCCTTCAAAATCCATGAACGTCTCACATTCGGCGGCCACTGACGGTTGGGAAACAGTCTCTCTGGGTTGCTGGAGCCATTAATGGAAGAGGCCACTTTATAGGCCTTTGTCTAAAGCGCTGCGCCGGTGGCCAGGCCGGTGGGCACCCAGTCAGGGTCAGGGAAAGCTGGGCAGTTCTACTCTGGGAGAGAAAAGTGGGCCACTCTCCACATTCAGGCCCTCTGGGAGGTTCCGATGCACAAGTTTGAGATCCACTCTTTATGCAAATGTAAGCAGTTATTAATACACTGATGGTCTTATTCCCCCGTCACCTAATGGCAGCACCGCACACCCGAGTTCTGCACACTTTTTTATATTCTGCTTTATATGTTCTGGAGACATTTCCATATCTGTACATAGACAGTGTCCTCCTTCTGCAGGATAGTCCACTGTATACAGCTTGTCCCCATCCATGGGCATTTATGTTGTTTCTCATCCTTTGCAATGAAGATCTTTGATCACACCTCATTTCCCACCTGGAGTGCTTGGCACAGTGCTTTCAAGCCTCTCTCTGTGCCAACAAGGAGGTGACATCATCATGTGGGCTGACTTTTTGACCCTCTATTAAAGACTAAATATCTCTTTGAAATTGCTTTTTGCACAAATCATAGCCTAGGTGACAGCAGATACATTCTCTTTTCCTGACAGTGGCTCCCTTCCAACCGCCTCTCCCCCGCCCCCGCCCCCGCACACACACCATTTAGTCTCCACATGCATCAGGCTGCATTAGGAAAGGATGCCTCCTCTTAAGGGCAGGGTCACTTCATCTGAGGGAGCGGCTTGGAGTTCAGCCCCTTACCCGCCTTACTCTGCACCAGGGTGTCCACCTTGGCACTGTTGCCATCTTGGGCCACGTCATTCTTTGTTGGGGCGGGGGTTGTATTGGGGGATGTTTAGCAGCATTCCTAGCTAGATCCCAGGGGCACCTCCCACAAAGATGTCTCCAGACAGTGTGAAATGCCAGGGGGGAGGGATGCGTGTGGGAGGAGATCACCCCTGGTTGAGACCCACTGTTCTGACAGCTGTACCCTCCTCAGACCAGTCCTCCCTTCCTCAAGGCGGTCTCCCCTCTCTTCTCACCTGGCTAGGGGTGCTCAGGCCACCAGTGGTTCCCACAGGCCCTGGCTCCATGTCCCTCCCTAGCCAGCCCAGAGCTCATCTCAGGGGGACAGCCAGGTGATGGGACAGCCAATCCTGGCCCTGCCCAGCCTAAATGTGCAAGAAGAAACCCCTTCAGCTCAGGGAGGTGGTTGGGTGGGTCCTGGCTTGGCCTAGATTCTCTAGGGCCTCTAACCAGGACTAGCTGGGCTTCCCTGTTGGCTTGACTCACTGGGATGGAGGTGCAGCCAAAGGCTTAAACAGTGAACTGGTCATTCCTTAGTCACCTCAACTAGTCCAAACTCCTTTCCCTGTTCCCCTGCACCATCCACTGAGCTGACTGGACTCCTCCCCCTCCCCAACCTTCTCCATTTGTGCTGAGTCTGCTGAAGTGGTTCATGCCCAATGTCCAGCACAGTGCCTGGCACACAGCGGGCTCTGCCAGTGCCAGCCCTCTGCCATGCCCAGAGCAGTCCCTTAACACTCTAGGCAGAAGCCTGCCTCTCCTCACCATCCCCATCCTCCCAGGTCCATCCCAAAGAATCAAGATCTGGCTGCTCCTCCCTACTCTGCCCTGTTGGGACCTCTCCTACTCACCTGACCTCACTGTGCCCAACTGGCCAGCTGGCTCATGGCACTTAATTCAGGGGGGTTTGCCCGCTCCTGTCTGCCTTATGTTTAGTCCCCCGGAAGGTCAGTATACTCCTGCCCTTCAGGTCTCCTCCCAGGAGGGCTCGCCCTGGTGCTGGCTGTGCTGCTTCTTGCAGCTGGGGCTGGTGGTGAGGGCAGGCATTAGAGGCAGGATGCTGGGTTGGAAGTTGTCTGTCACTGTCCACCTGAGTGACCCTGGGTAAGTTGGTTATCCCTCTGTGCCTCAGTTCCCCCATCTGTAAAATGGGGACACTCCGAGAAGCAAAGGAGAAAGGGGATATAAAGGGCACGGCACAGAGTCCTGCTCCAGAAACAGTGCTATTTGAGGAGCCTTAAAAGTGAGGGAAGAGGCAAGGAGAGAAGGGTGCTGGCCTGTGCCCCCTTCAGGGGCCCTGAGATCGTTCCAATGAGTTGAAGTGGGAGTGCCCTGCGGAAGGGTGGAAGCATTAGGTATCATCACGGTTATCCTTGCTCAGCCACTCCGTCATGCTCAGGTTAATCCATTAAGCAGTAGTTTTTGGAGCTGCTTTCTGTCTGGGTGATCACCTGGGATGTGTTAAGAGAAGAGAGCAACCGAGGACAGTGTGTAAAGAAGAGAGAGGGGATCTGTGTGGGGTTGGCAATTAGTGAGGCGGTGAGCACAGCCAGGATCAGAGAAGTCAGGAGGGAGGACAGGTCAGGGGAGGGGAGAGATAGGTGAACAAAGCAATACAGGGGGCAGAGCTGTTAAGGATTGGGGGGGTGGGGAGGGAGAGAGAGAGAGAGAGAGAGAGAGAGAGGAGAAGAGAGAGAATAGAGAGAGAAGAGAGAGAAACAGAGAGAGAGATATCCTAGGACAGTGGTCGGCAAACCGCGGCTCGCGAGCCACATGTGGCTCTTTGGCCCCTTGAGTGCGGCTCTTCCACAAAATACCATGTGCGGGTGCGCATGTACAGCGATTGAAACTTTGTGGCCCATGCGCAGAAGTCGGTTTTTGGCCTGGGTGAGTCTATTTTGAAGAAGTGGAGTTAGAAGAAGTGGGGGGTGTCAGTTGTTCGGGAGACGGGAGATGCGCAGGCAGGCCACGGGATATGCAGCACGATTCATGCACGAGTTGAGTGAGCCAGAGAGTTGGAAGGGGTCGACCTCAGCGAACGTACCTCAATCAGATTGAGGACGTTTTTAGCAAAGGCCAGCTTAGGAGGACCCTAATTAAGTTAATAACAATGTACCTACCTCTATAGTTTAAGTTTAAAAAATTTGGCTCTCAAAAGAAATTTCAATCCTTGTACTGTTGATATTTGGCTCTGTTGACTAATGAGTTTGCTGACTACTGTTCTAGGACATCCTAATGGGCTCTTTCCTTTAAAAAGAGCAGCAGAGATATGAGATCCAGGATTAGTCCCAAAGCCCTACCAAGACCACAAGGAAGGGATCCAGCCAGTGGGAACCTACCCTGAGAGGCACAAAGAACAATTCTGGGTTGTGGGGGAGGGAAGGCAGGACAAAGCCAAGGACCCCCAGGGGCTTCTGGGGGACAGCTCAGAGGAGCAGGAAGGAAATGTGCTGGCTCTTTATTTAGCAGATCCATGGGGATAAATTAGAGCTGAGGGGACCAGCTCCATGAAATCCCGCGATTGGATTGGCCCTGATCTTACAGGCTCCTTGTGAGATGGGTGGTCCTACCTACATTGTTGAGAGGTCAAGCAGTTCGCTCAGGGTCCCAGTGGCTGGGCCTGCAGGAGCTTCCCCAGGCCAATGGGGCTGTGACAGAGAACCCAGAGGCAGACCCTGAGGCTCCAACCTTCCCAACCCCTGCAACCCCCTCCCCCTCAAAAATGCTCCTCACAAAATGCTGGGTCAGGAGTCTCTTCCCCGCCCTCTTTGTTGGCCTCCCACACCCAGAGACCCCTAGCAGGTGACAGGTGGCCTTGTGCTCTTGGTTTGTGCTTATGAAGAAAACCTTCATCTGGTACCACATCCTTGCTTCTCTTCTCAAGGGCTCATTTATTTTGGAGACTTGTAAAATCTTCTCCTTTCCTGTGTGCAAACATGACTCTGGGGAGCAGCCCTGCTCCAGTCCTGAGTTGTCACGGAGCCATCTGTGAGGTTAATGACTTAAAGGACAAGTGTGACCCAACAAGCTTCCTTACTGTGTCCACCATGTCAGGGAGGGAGAGGGCTGGTCAAGAGACCACAGGGAATGAGGGGCACCAAGGTCTACTGAGGACACTTGCCTTTGATGATGCAAATGTGCAAATGACACACTATGTCCACAAGCCCCAGAATCTTAAATCCACTTTGGTGTGTGTGGGGCCGGGGGGAGAAGGAGGGGAGAAGGAGGGGGTTGGATGTGGTGTGGCCTAGGAATTTTTTCTGTCTAGAAAATGTACGTCAGTCACCTGCCATCCATACATGGCAATTGTTTCTACAAATTGTGGCACACTGCATGGGAAGGGTTTCCTTTTCATTCTTTCCTTTCCTTCCCTCCCATCCTTTCTTCTCTCACTTTTTTTTTTTTTTTTTACGATTTTGAACAATTGATATTTAGAGAGATGGGAGAGGAAGAGAGAGAGAAACATTGAAGTGAGAGTGAGACATCAATTGTTGGCTGCCTCCTGCACACCGCTTCGCTCACTCTTTTTTGCTTCCTTAACTATTTCATTATGGGAAAATTTAAACCTATATAAACATAGAATTATATATTGAAGTTCCATGGATTCATCACCAGCTTCAGCAATTATTAATCCATGGCCAATCTTGTTTCCTCTATTTTCCCATCTGTTCCCATTTCCAAAATTATTTTAAGGCAAATACCAGACATTGTATCATTTCATCTGGAAACATTTCAAGAAGTATCTCTAAAAGATAAAGGCTCATTAAAAAAATTATCCAACACCACCATTATCAATTTTGTGTTTTCACTTTGATGAGACTCTTAAAATATATTTTTGGCCAGCAATAATAAATTTAAAAATATGAATTATATATAGTCACAACTTTCCCACATTTCAAGAAAGAT